AAATTAAGTGTTACTTTAACCCAACTTTAAATCTGTAGATATATGTAAACATATATTCATTACTACCATAGTAATTTTCAATAAATGAACACTCATAATCTACGTTGACACATCTAACGTAACTCTTCATCTCTCCTGTAAACAGTTCGGAAATAACACCACCCACACTTGTATTCTTAAACCCAGACAAAAGTGTTAGTCATATATAATGAGAATTTTAATGACTTGAAATATGACTTAACTTAATAATACCTTCATTTTATCCTCTAAATTATTTAGCAGCACACTATCAAATTCTTGTACATCATACGACGTACAACAATCTGATGAATCCCACCCAAAAGATTTCGTTAATTCCGTTATTTCAACTGGTTTATCCGATACTTGCAAATTATAAAAAATCCTTTGCATAGCCAAAGGAATACTTTTAATTGGATCGTCATCTTCTGTGGGGATTTGATATATCGCCTATAATTTGAAAAAAATAATGAATACCATCAGATTTTGATGTAAAATGATTTATTACGAATTATTTTTAGATCAAGTAGAAACACTAACCTTACGAAAATATTTAATGCTATATAATAACTGCAACTCAACGTTTAAATAACTTGTTGCACCCTGGTTTTTTAGATTAACGTATCCAGTCATTTTTAACTAGAGATGCGTGAAATGCGAATTGTGCCGATCACCATACAAATTGCAATATGTAGAGGTGCAGAAAATAACTTAATTACCTCAATACAAAAAATAGTGACGACAATATGTACAAGGGGCACGCGCTTATTTTAGTGTTTAATACAAACTCCTAAAAAGGAAATAATCCATCAACGAATCAGCCTGATATAGAATCCGAACACGTGTGAAAGAAGAAAAAAAAGCAAAGAAAGCGAAAATAATCGAAAATGTTGTACTAATTAAAAATGTCGAGAACAAAATTTTACATGTAGAAAATGGTATTTTATTCCTATATCCCCCAAGCTATCGCCCTAACCTTAAATTTATATTGTCACGTACTTATTTCATGTTCAATTTCCTTTTTTTTGGTTTGTATTACCCATGGAAATAAGTAAATCGGCCTGGATGGTAGTGCACTCTAATCATAACTATATAAAAAAGTTTACATGAACATTAAAAATATAAAACCATAATATAATTTTAAAAGAAGATAGAATATTTTATAAGTTATGCCATAAGATACCAGTTGAGTCTTTTATAATGGAAGAAAGTCGTAATATTGTATCATTTTCTATTAATACTGTAGTTTATTTAAATTACAAACCTGTTTAAATCCCAATTTGGATGTTCGGCTGATGCGAAATGATAAATAATTAATACTAATACGTACGTACTATATGAAACATAGAGTGTTGAGTCTTTCGGATTCCATAATTCCAAAGCAAATTGCTCACAGCAATGCCAACCGTCAGGTGCACCTTTTGTATCAACAAAATCTAGATAAATTAAAACAACGTCTGAATTATTGTCTAATTATTGTCTGTATGATTGTTTCAGAAAAAGCAAAATGCCTAATATTAAATGTAATATAATTAAAAATGAAATTATATTCAAGTCATATATTTAAATAAACCTACTATTTTCAACTTCTATCTTCAAATTCAGGACTAGGGATTGGAACCGGTCAAAAAATTTATAACCGATTAAACTTTATATTTTATTGACTTTAATCGGTTAAATAATCGGTTAAAGTCGCGTAATAATTGACCAATCAAATCGTCAAATTTCACAATCTGTACAAATTTATTTTAAGACATTATCGTTATACCACTACTGTTATAACGATGGCGAGTTATAATAATTTTACTTCTAATCATGTTCTGTATAAAATACTACAGCCCAAATTTGCTTTGCAGTATAAATTACAATAAAATTTAATACATAGAATCCAGAATCAAATACAGTCATACCCCTCTATAGTCACCCCCTCTATAGTCACAAAACCAATATAATCACATTTATGTTTTTACCAACTTTTTTTATAATATTTTTACCTCTATATAGGCACAATCGCCTTATAGTCACTATCACATTTTTTTAATAACCACGAATATAATGCTTATATAAAATTTCCCTTAATATAGTCACATTTTTTTACCATAATAATGCCATGAGCACGATTTCAAATTTTGGCCTGAATTATGTTTAACTTAGACCAGCATCTGAAATCATATCTTTGTATGACGGCCCCAAAAGTACAGCAATGTAAGATTAGTTAATACTACTAATTGGCTCTCTTCTACCAATACTGCAAGTAGTGATTTTGGCCAATCCGATAATTTACTTTTAGCCAATTTTTTCACTATCAGCCAAGATCACTTTTATGAAACTCCATTCATTCGAGCACATGTTTAGAATTGGGCAAAAATTAAAAAAAAACTGAATTACTATTTATTATGTGAAATATGTGTCAACAATATGTATTTATTAAACTGAACCCTCAAACAATAAAACTAATTAATTATCACGTCAAACCCACCTCCCCAACTTAGAACCAATCTCTTTTTACTGCTAAAATTCGCCTCCTTTACATTAAAATTCATATAAATATACTTAAAGTCATAGTTTGACTCATGCTAAATGTCTATCATAGAATAGTGTAAAAAGCGCCCTAATGTTTTTTAATCCGTTGAGTTGTCATGGCACCATAATTTGTCATCATTATATCTATGCGATTCTGACAGATGATTTTGCTTATGTTAATTAAGCGAATAAAGTGGTGATTTGGTAGTTTATTTCAAATGTTTAACATGAATAAATCATAGTCTACGCACTAAATTAATGCGAATAAGATAAATAGCAATATGAAATTAAATCATATTCATCATATCTTAAATACTTAGACTCTACCTTCACGAAAAGCATAGGTACGAATGGTCATGTGATTGGACTAATGCCGGCAAGCCAAAGATGCCGGAAATAAATTTAATTTAATTAAAGGACTTTAAGTCCGCAGAATACATTGTGAGTAATTTGAGCTGCGTAATTTGAGCTGAGTGATTTGAGCTGAGTAATTTGAACTGAAACGATGATATGCTCCCAGGAAAATTATCAAGTGAGATTGCGCCGGGTATCATCGTAACAGTAGAATAAGTAAGAAGCAGCATCAGCCGGTGGTTTCCCGGCTGCTCGAAGCAGGCCGGCTGTTAAATAGGAAAATGGCAGGGTTGAGGTAGATAAGCCATGTCACAAAAAATCGGCAGTGATTGATATACAAGCTATTCTGTCTATATTTTTATATTCTGGCATCTAAAAAAGTTAGTAAAAACTTTTTTTGATCCCGAATTATAAGTATAAAATTAATAGCACGAATACAAAAATATAGTCAGAGTGGCATGTATATCAAGTCACTGCCGATTTTTTGTGACATGACTTATCTATCTGAAGGGTTGGGTCGAGAAAAAAGAGACGGTTATAATGCTTGGTTTGTTGAAAGAAGAACGAGTGTCGCAAATCAGTTATTTGTCGATTCTTTAAATACTGATTGTAGTCGGTGGCTTTTGGTTACGTCACTTTATTCGCATAAAATTCTTGAAGTCTGATGTCTCTTTTGATCCCGACCCATGTTGTCAGGCAGGGTTGTAGCATATGGCGTGTAATCCCTGACCATTCTCCCCTGTCTTTTCGATCAGTTGACTCCTGTCAACATACATTATAATGGACCCATTAAAGTGGATCCCTCATTATAGCAAAATAATTATCTAGAACATTTTAAAATTTTATTACAATGGATGGAATTTCTCAGCCTGATCACTCTGTTATAATGAGGGTAGTGTAGATTAATAAATGTTTAAGCTTGCGCACTAAATTAAATGAAATTAAATAATATTATTTAGAAGTTTAATAGCTTACTTTGAATGTTTAATAAATGTTTTTTATACTATATAATTACTAATAAATATTATTACCCTTCAGGCCATTATGATCTGCAATATAATTATTATTAAACAATTTATACGTATTATTATGTTACTAATTATATTATGTATACTTATGATACATATTAATTTATTTAAGAATTACAATACTAGCCTTAATTAATAATTTGTGAATGTTTTCATTTTCAAGAGTTGATTATCCAACATGTCGGATTTTTTTTTTTGATTGTGTTAGGGTGGAGTTTACTAATTTCTCCCCGACTTCACTATCGGAGCACTATAAAATTGATTAATAACACAGGTACTCCGATATGTGAATAATTAATAAAACCAATCAGAAGTGGAGGTCATTAGGGTGAGGGTTTTCAGGACCATAAATACCAAAACGGGTTTGAGTAACAGAGTTGGTTTAAATATCTGATAATGGAGTACGAGTTTGAAAATCAGGATTCGTCTTAAAATAAAAAAAAATCAATATATACACTATAAAGCATTAAAAAAAACCTCCAAATTTGATATAATTGCAATACCAGGTCTTTATTATCTTTGATTACTTAGTTCAATAGCTTGTTAGTTTGAGCTAGTCTAAGTAGAAATACTGTGCTAATTATTATCGTTATATAAAACAAAAAATTACAAAATTACATATTTATATTACCAGATCTTTCATTAACTTAATTATTCAGTTCAGAAGTTTCGTACACTTGGGTCAGTCTAACGTAATGTATAGAATTATACATATTGTGTATAAAATTTATGTTTATAGTAAAAAAATAATTCATGCACATCGTATGGCCAAAAGGATAATACTGTTACTGGGCACGTAAGCTACTAATAACTGCCTTATTCAATGGAAATTTTGCAATCATTTACCCTATCACTTGCAAAATTTCCAATGTTATTCATCAAAATTTTTGATGAATAACTACAGTTATTGGTCGCTTCATGCCTAATAACTATATAATATTTACGCAATTTTATAGAGAGGTGTTACAGTATATCTGTATACGTGTAAAAGACTCACATATTGTCAGTATAAGTCACATCCAATTGGAAGTCTTTGATGAAATACAAAACCAATATGGATACACCAATTCTAAAACACCAACCAATACAGTCATAAGTTGGAAGTAATATTGTTACGCAAAACTCAATTAGAAGTAGCTCTACCGGTTAGATTTACGCCCATGTCTAGGTCTATACCAATTCGGAGAGTACATAAATAGATATATTGTACATATACTTAAACAATAAAATCCACCAATGAAAGAGTATGAAGATTGGCTGGATGAAAAAGAGGAGCGGTCTAAGGATTCACATGATTAGAACCCTATGTATAGATAGGTGTGTCACCAAATTGGAAGTACTTTAGTATGATAGCAGAAAAATCCTACCAATCTGGGAGTTTATATAGTATATGGAGAATATATTAAATATAATATAATAGTATAGAAATCCTGATATACACTAAAAGTAGGGTTAGATAAATCAGGTAGAGATATGCATTTGTGGATAAAATAGTCCTAAGCTGAAGTCTTACAAGTTACATTGTAGTTATCACATAATTTGTAATTATAATATACGTAATAAAAGACCTAGGCAAAAGATGCCACCCTTAAAAAAAAAAAAAAAAAAAAATTTACGCAATTTAAATAATTAACTTATTCTAATATCTAGATTAATAAATGCACAAACTAAAAATTAAGAAATTAATAATTATGATTTATACTGTGCTTATTATATTCATAATCAATA